AATCCTCATTGCCAGGAGTGTGCAGAGTTTCCACTGCATTTTCTGAAATCTTGGTTGTGGTTCAATGTAGTCTTGTATTTCTTTTACTCTTGAATCTTGTTTTACAACTAGGAATTTATATCTTTAACCTGAACTGGATATACGGCAGGTATATTTTCTAGAATATCTGTCCTGCATGTCAACTCTTCTGTTAAATAATAATAATATCAATTCCAAGACATCATAGTGGATGCAAAGAAGGTTATTATCAGAAGTTGCATTTTCATGGTAGCAAGCCCCGCACACATCTCTCTAGAATCAGCCGAAGAGAAATTTGAGTTCAACCACAGTTGGAATTGTATTCTACTCCTTTAATAAGAAGATAAACCTGCCACCACCACAAGAATCACTTGAGATAAATGTCGCATTAAAACTTCCTAAAGAATAAATTCAAAGAGCAGGATATATTTATCACCAAAAAAGTTTAACACTCTTACAATCAATTTAATCACCATTGATTTTCGGCAATCTAACGGTTATAATTTATTGGGAATTAATAACCGTGATTAAATTGACGAAAATCAACGGTGATTAAATTGATTGTAAGAATGGTAAAAAAAAATTGGTGGTAAGTAAATCTGTTCCCTTAAATTCAATCCAAAAGTTTAAATTGTTAGGTGAACATTACATTAGTTGTTTATTTATTATATTTTTCTAATATACCTTTTTACATAAGTGTTTATTGGGGTTAAAGGGTAAACAATGTATAAGTTTATATATCCATAACAAGAAATTCTATAATATTTAATTATTTAATAGAATTTGGTCAGTGAGAATTAAACTCGTAATTATTTGATTATATAAACTCTGATGTCATATAAAAAATCAAATCAATTCAAAAAATTAAACTCTTTCGTGTAGGTTATGTTAATAATTTTTATATTATATTTTTTTAATAAATTTTATTAAGCAAAAAGAGCCCTCAATCAATTTCTTTGCAAGTGATGTTGTATTGCTAGCTTTCTTGTTCTCATCCTTAACACTAAGACATGACAGAAGAAATTTATGACAATTGAGCATAATCATATTTACATAGGGATCAAGGGTAATGCTAACTATTCAGATTCACAATTTACGCAAACAAGTATGGCAATTTGCAGCATCTTGTTGATCGTGAAAAATAGTTAGATCAGGAGAATAATAAGTGCATGGCGCAGCTAAAGCAAAATGGCTTTAAATTAAATTACTAAAAATAGACCATTACAGTACCTTGACTTTATGACTAGTTAAGGTGATTCGTTATGAGAAATTTTTAGATTCAATGTGTTTAGGATATAATCCCACGTCCCGTTAATGGGTTCAGGCTCAAGATAGGCTTCCTACCTAAGGAATCCTCTCTGGTTAGAGCTTCAGCCCGTGAACTCGGGTTGTGGGTCGGCACCATTGATAGGCCTCTTTGGCTTGGGCTTAAGCCTGTAAGCTCGGGTCGTGGGTTTGCATACACGATCTTCCCTCCATCCTCTAACATTCATGATCTCATTTGAAAAATCGTTCTAGGGGCATGACATGATCATCTCTACAGGGTCAGTATAAATACATGAATGGTATTTTTGGGGAAGACACTTCGGACCAATCACATTCCACAACCCATTCTAAACTTAGAGCTCTCATCATTCCTAGAATTTACTCACACACCCTTTTGTTGTTTACTAGTCGGACTTTGGCTAGAGGTGTTCGACCCATCATTGTTAGTCATCTCTTCCACTTGGTCTGTAGATATTACTACTAGCACCCTCGCTAGACATTAATGTTCATCTTCAAACACAATGTAAGAGAAATACAATCAACAATCAAGGACACTTAATAAAACGATATATCATTTTATGCTTCAAACAAAGGTACTAAAAGAATAGTTTGGCAAGAGAAATGTTGGTTGAAAATATAACTTTTCACATATCTCCACATGACAATATAGAAACTTTTTTTCGTTCTGCTGTCTCAACAGCAAAAATTTTCTACTTTAATATATGTAAAGTATGTGAGAAAGTTTGTATAAAAAAATTGTGTGAGAAAGTTTCTATAGGTATTGCTATAAAAGGCTCGAGTGCATAAGCGCTCCAGCTCTCTAAGTGAGTTGGTAATTTAATTTTTAGAAATGTTTCTCTCTTGCAATTTAGCCTTTAATTTTTTTTGTAAGTTGGTTTTTAAATTTATAAAATCTGCAACACATTAGTATTTCGTTTGATGAAGTTAAAAATTAAGGACTACTTCATAACATAATGAATAAATTTAAGAACTAAATTATAAGAAAAGGATATATCTAATGATTAAATTACCTATTTATTCCAATAAAAAATTAACTAGTCCATAAATTTTAATCATGAACAATACATTACTTTGGGGTTTGGACATGGGAAGAGAGGATAGCAAAATGAATTTTGGTATAAGAAACTAACACTTTTCTTTGGAAGTCCATCCTATTAAGTCACATTAAAAAATAAAATAAAATACATTCTAACTTCTAAGGAGTAAATATGTGATTTAGTTCCAAAAGACGTTACATGTGTCGGTTTATTTTAAAAAAATTGTTTATATAAATTAATCTTCCAAGTTATCAACTTACAAGTTTACCATCCTAAAATTATCACGTTACTAACAAGTTTAATTCTCCAAAAACTAATTTGTATAATTGAAAACTTGGACTAAAATAACACAACTAACATCTTTCAAAACATATTATTCAAGTCATGGCTAAGTTTAGTGACATTTTGTGACTTGGGGCTCCCTTAGCATTTGTACTCTCTTCAACATTTCGAAATTTTTTTGAGTTGCTCTTAGTTTTTCATTATTGCAAAAACATAACTATCCATAATTGGACACATTATAATCCATCACAATTAGTGGATTCAACATCGCTTCTCAATTCAAAATCTTAAAGAATGTGTTTCACTTGATTATTTTTAACCTATGTGAGACTATTCCCAGTTAAATTCTCAACAAGTAGGTCTACAAGAATCATGTTAGTACAAGCTTCTTTAACAACCACTTTCATCAAGGCTGACACAATTACTGCTCCCTATGGCTCCTGGAAGTCCCATATCCCTAGCTAAGAAAGTTGCAGCTATTTCATGGTATAGCCGTGCCAGCTCAGAAAGGAATGCTCACAATTGTGCACATTACTCATCAGAAAGTCTCAACGTACCCACTCATTTTGGCACCTATGCTATTATTTATTAGGTGATCATAAGATATTGGAAGTGAATCCTCTCATATTAAAATTTTACATAAACTGATCAAGTGAAATTTTTGTATTTATTTCTCTCTTCACATACATTAAATAGGTCAGGTTCAATCATTACTAATGAAGAAAGATATTAACACAAATTTCACATAACCAAGTCATATAATAAGAGGATTCATTCCTTTTATAATTTGCGTCACAATGAAATTTGCTAATCATATCTGGTATGGTGGAAGTTGAATGACCTTACGAGTTGGTGTTATATAGGTTTGGCATCCCAACGATTCTCCATTCTTATATTAACATATCGATTTTTATTAATTAGTCAAGACATTTATTTTGAGGTGATTTTTAGTTTGGTTTAGGTAATTAAGGTAATGGTTATGAAAACAATCCATTTGTTAAATCAGAAATATGTTTATTATTACTATATATATAGGTGAATCTATGATATCCTGTCTGGTCTAGCTAGTTTGGTAAGTTAAAAAATGAGTGGAGCAGTATGCATTGGGCTACACGACCTTTGAGTGGTGTAGCTAGTTGTATTCAACAAAGTGATTTTTTTCAAAGTGTGCGTATTGCACACGTGTCCGACACGGACACGCTTCGACACGTGGTTAATATTTTGGAATACGCAGTTAACGTTTTGATACGTTTTTTTGACACGCAGTCAACTTTTCCAACACGCGGTCAACGTTCCGACATGCATCCGACACATTTTTTTTTACTTCTTAATTTTTATTATTAACTAAAAATAAAAAAATAATTTATAAATCAATTTTTTTTCTGTTATGAAATTTACATGAAAAATTAATAAGGTACGAAAAATTATTTTTGTTTATATTTATGTTATGAAATTTAAATATTTGATTGGTTATATGACTTATTATAGGCTGTTATATATATTAAATATAAATTATATTATATATTAAAATATTATTTAATATCAAATCGTGTCCCAGCGAGTCAAAATATAATATTTTTTAAAATTAACGTGTCAGCGTGTCGTGTCGTGTTGTGTCGTGTCCCGTGTCATCGTCGTTACATTATAGGTTGTATTGTATTTCATGATAGCTTTGGGTATTATACCAGCAATCACATAGAGTTTGATAGCTTAAGAATAATATATTCCTTCCAAGATTTGCATTTTGGATTTTCGTTTTCCTTTTCTTTTCTGGTTATGAATTTTGAAATTTGAATTCATCCTAAGAATAATATAGAGTACTGCTCCCAAAAGGAAGGTTCTTTAGAATTTGTAACTAAAGTTGAACTTTAAATTCGCTAATTTCTTTTAAAAAAATTCAAATGATATTATTATAGAAAAATATGATGAAGGTATTGTTATGCCCATTTGTTACATATATTGATCATGATTAGATAACATTTAATTATAAAATTTAAACCATAGAAGCTCAATTGTATCACAATTTTCTAGACACGTATACCTAAGTGTTGTTAAAACCTTTAGCAACAGGACCTTTATACAACACTTGTCAAAAGTTGCTAATGCAAATGGCAACACTTTTTCATAATTTGGCAACTTTTTTTATTTGTGATTAATGCTTTTTATGTGGTAACAAATAAAATTATTCTTATAATATGAAAAGAGTGTAAGTCCATATAAAGAGAAGAAAGAAAGAAAAAAATCTCACACAATTATATATATATATATATATATATATATATATATATATATATATATATATATAACAGATAAAATTATCTCACGAAAAATATTAATCACTAAATGTCAATTATTTTATATAGATCCCAGCGTTCAAGTACTAACTTTTATAGCTACGGTCATTTTTTTGTGCTGGGACCAGATATCATCCTTGTCATCTCCTACAATCAATGACAAATTCAAAGTCACATATCTACTATGACAGAAAATCAAATTGCGGAAAAGATAAATGCTATCATCTACAATTCATGATGATCTGTTTTCCCTTCATATTTGTCCTCAGACTTAAAATGATACAATACAAGCATCATGCTTCTCATAATTTTTATAGAATCCTACACAAAATGAAGCAAGGCCGATCATTATAGAATACAAATCAGGGTATTTCCCAAGATGATTATTGAGGCATTGGCACAAGGGGATGAAAATATTATCTGCTCAACGCTTAATGCGAGTGATAATGAAGAACAGAAACATGGCCAAAGTCTGAGGCAGGAAAAGTGCATTTTTCATAGTCCTTCATCATTTCCAAGCAGTTTTTCTAGAAGCAGCAGATTTGCCCTTCCACAATTCAAAAAAACTACTGCTTGTGGGTTATTCTTCAGTTATACAGGTGAGGAATCTTTGCCTATGTTCACATCTAAATCTTCTGTTTAAGAACATGGCGCAACTGAACCTTCTGGCTTTCCATCCTAGCCTCCATAAGTCTGGCTTTCAAACTATTCTTCTGTGCATTGCGAGGAATGCATCCTTTCATGCCTCGATTATGCTGATTTCCTGACTCAGGAGAACTCAACTGGCATAGAAGGTCTTGGGGGCTTAGTTCAACTTTTCCATGTCCCCAGTCAGGAGAACTGATGGCCCCACTAGATACCCTTCCATTTGAAAGCCTTCCATTCATTCCCTCCACAGAGATTATCTTGTAATTATCCCCACTGTTTGGGCCTGACCTCCAAAGCTTTGCAATCGATGATACCTTCTTTGATGGCTTAGTTGATACTGAACAGACTTCACTAATTTCAGTAGTTGGGGTCTCTTCACCTGTATTTTCTTCCCATTCAAGCACACTCCTCTCTGAGACATTACTCTCTCGATGATTCTTGGTCGCTGATGGAGCACTCCCTTCTGGGGAACAACTTGATCCTTGATCCTCAACATGGCTCACAGTTTCCCATCCACTTTCATCTTCTTCTATATAATCATTGTCATCCATAAATACATCAGAACGTCTCTGAAAACTATCCTTACTTATCAAGTTGGCTTCAGGACTCACTGTGTGAATCTTTGAGGCATAACTCGATGGAGAATAAGCAACACATGGTTCAATCTCCCTCTCGTTGTGTTCACCAAAATTTACTTCCTCAAAAATGGCAAAAATATCATCTGGATTGGGCGGCTCGTATGAAAATCCGTTGATGTCTTGGATGTTCACAGCAGCTGCAGCCTGTTGAAGTGACCGTGCCTCTTTCATCTCCTTTGCATTTGGGTTCACATTATTAAGAAAGGTTTCCAATTCTGCTACAAGTTTATTCATATGTGAATACTTCTCATCAAGAGCAACTTTTGCATCTATCAATTTCATATGAACACGTTCTTCACGCCATACTTCAGCCATCTGCAGCATCTTTCTCTCTTCTTCCACTTCTTCCCTAAGTTTCATAGATTCCCTCTTCAATGTTTCAATTTCAGCCTTGTCTTCTCCAATTTCCTTAGCAAGCTCATCACACACTTCCTCGATCAATACTCTGGCCTTCCTTTCCTTCTCATAATCCTGCATGTAGCGTTTTGCTAATAACTTCGAATCTGCCAACTCATTAACCAACCTGGAATTTACAATTTCACTCCTTTGGCGACTTTTTCTTTCTCGATTCAACTCTGCTTTAATGTCATCAATGTACGCACGAATTTTCTCATGCTCTTTGCTCCGCCATGTGGTCCTTTCCTCGTTGACTTTCTTCAAAACATGCTCAAGTTTCTTTTTGGAGGAGTGGTGTTCAGTCTCAAGCACCTGAATCTGTGCACGAGCCTGCTCTAGTTCAGCTTCAAGAGCAGATACAGCAGAAACAGTGCTTACCTTTTGGTCAAGAAGTTTCATCTGGCTGTAGATATTCTGCATCTCATCTGAAGTTCTCAAGCAAACAGGATCCCACTTTGTTGCTCCCTCCATTGCATTACTGGAAAACTGGAAAGAAGGCTTGAGCTCAAGAAGAATAAAGTAGGTTCAAGATTAGCACTTTAATAGTTCACTCTTTCAGTTGTGGTAAGTAAAAGTGGGAAACTTCTAAACTCTTTCCTCAATCAGAAAAGTTTCTTAACATGACTGATATTTCAAATGCTTCTTTCACTGCATCAGTTTACCTAACAATATGAAAATGTTTTGCCCATGCACTTTTACAAGAAACTTACATCTATGCATAACAAAAATAAAGCATCACTAAGTTTCATTCATCAACTCCAAGGCATACATCCAATCTATTTTCTATATCATATCTATTTATTTGTTTAAAAGTTCAACTAGGGTCGCAGTCATGTCAGCCTATATAAGTATATATGTGTATACCTGTGTACATGAGCTTGATACAATATTATATTTCCAACATAGTACATCATGACATTTTACAGTTTGTTGTGTATCTGTAGCCTAGCTTAATGATATAGCAGCCTTTTTGCACAAAGCATAGGCTTATCATGATTAAAATAGGGATTTTTCGGTTGCTTTGTGTAAAGAACCAATTCAACCCAAAAGCTTAAGCTGTAGAGTGAGGCTATATTAATGGTTTTATATATCTTAACACGCCTCCTCACACGAGCCCACTCGGCTTGAAGGGTGGACAATGCACAGGTCCACCTACCTGTGCGAATAAAGAAATTCCACTAGAAAGAAAGTGGGGGGCGGTGAAGATCGAATCCAGTACACCGAGCTCTGATACTATGTAAAGAACCAATTCAGCCCAAAAGCTTAAGCTGTTGGGTGAGGCTATATTAATGGTTTTATATATCTCAACACTTTGTGTCATATGATCAAGGGTGATGCAAATCATACCACTTCCAGAATAATAAGGGCCATTACAGAGCTTCTGAAACGGGATAGGCTGGTTTATATAATGCATAACTACAGAGAAGCATGTGCAGACTGTCTAGTATTCTTGCCCGTGGCAGAAGGATCAAAATCTGGATTGGTCCTCCTAGTGTTCTTACTAGTCTTCTGGCTCTAGACAGTCTCCATGTAGTTTCTCTCTTGTTTTGGGCCTCGGCCTCATACTTTCACAAAAATAAAATAAAAAATGCATTCGCAAAACTGACTGGGTAGGGAGATCATCATGCAGGAAAGGGTGTAATGTTCATTCAGTCTTCACTCTTTACACGTATATGGCTGTAGTCAATAATCTTCAATTATCCAGACCCATTAACATTTAATAAATAAAAAACATAATACCTCACAAAAGTGTCCATCCTTTGTCCCAGAAATGGAACAAGGACTTTGTGATGGATTCTTCATATCAGAACCATGCACCATGCCATTTCGATGACTGAGAAATGGGTAGTCTACCTGGTTAATTCCATGCTGCAGACAAGTGATATCAGTTGTAAACTAGAAGTGGAAATAATGCAAAAAAACTGCCAAGATCTGAAAATAATGAAAATAACTACCTGACAAAGATATGCATTGAAGAAAAACAATTCTCAAATGTCAACAGGTATGCCTAGAAACCTAATAACAGAATCTAGTAAATAAGTACAGTTCACTTAAGAACAAGCATTGAAAACACACAAGTTCCCAGTGCGATTTTTACACTACAGATAATAAACAACATGTATAACATAAATTCAATTATCTCCACAGACAAACCCTAGTCAACTCATTTCTCCAATTATTACATAGAACAATAATGGCTTCTTCAGTAGACGTAAATCAATCATGAATTAACTGCCCAACACATTTTAGGCTTGAAATGATTTATTTATTTTTCTCCCTTTCACAGAAGGTCAGGGATTATTCCAGTACCCATCTTTTTTTTTCTTACATACCTGTACTCATTAATTACCAAACATTTATTCATTACTGGTTATACTTAATGGACTTGTAACATTTATCACCCAAAAAATTTCTGACAAATCATCAAAGGTACTAATACCCTATAAAAAAGAAAAAGAAAAAAAAAGATATCATATCCACAGCAACTAAAAGCATATTAAAGAAACCCTCAACACACAAAATGGAACATGCAGAATGTTGAAAAAGGATGAAATCACGAAGGTCAATCTTGAAAACTAAGCAACAAAAAGATAAGCAAAAACGATAAAACCTCTACAACAACATACTACATATATGATGGGCCTAAAAACACAGTGAAAACCCAAATTTCAATCAAAAATAGCAAATGAAAACTAAAAACAGCAACAACAAGGGAATAGAAAAAATGAATGATGTTGAACAAAAGAAAACCAAAAGAGGGTTTACCTCAAGTCTCAACCGATCCACATTTTTCCTTCTCAACCCACCATGCTTTCCATGATCACCCTCTGCCAACTCCGGCAGCTGCAGCCGCCACAATCCGGCAGCGAGTTTCCTCGCCGACACGGCCTCCGCCACTGCAACCTCCCTTTTCCGGCTGGATTTCCGGCCGAACTCCTCCAGCGAATCGCCGCCGCCGTTCCTCTCTCTGTCATCGTTGATCTTCCACTTCGACGAAGGGGTTTCGGGCCTGCTCCGTTTTCCGATCGGTGCCCCGATTCGCCTCACCCGGGTCGCCGGGGTTCTGGCTTTCCGGCGGGAGGTTCTCTGCAGTGGTTGAAGATCCGAGCCCGGCGAAGGGTTTCGCGAGTTGGGAGCAATGCTCTCCGCGAATGGCGGAGTTGGTCGGTGAGAGTCGCCGGAAATCTTCATGGTCGCCGGCGAGTATCGGCCATTTAATGAATACCCGGTAAGGTGGAGCTTAGTGAACTCTGTGGTGTGGGTCTCTGAGTGTGTGTCTGTGTGTGTGTGTGTGTGTGTGTGTGTGTGTGTTTGAGAGAGAGAACAAGAGAGAGAGAGAACTTCTTCTTCTTCTTCTTCTGGGACTTGACTTGAAGACTGAGTGAGAAGATGAAGACACACAAGTATACTTTTTATTAGTAGAGACATACACCTTCGTTCGTATGTAGTCAATCCTAACGTACGATCTTACAGAAGCTGAATAAACGGTGATAAAAATATTTACATAAGAAATTTCACAATTTTTATCATCCTTAATTTATTTATGAATAATTAAGAGGGGCAGGTTATATTTACAAATTATACTATTTTCTTTCAGAAGATCACGGGTTACACTATATTCTTTCCAGAGAAAATAATGTAATTTGAAAAAAAAATTAAAAAAAGTTTGTATACGAATATTTTCCCTAATTAAAATCGTTGCATGATATGATTCATATTAAATCCATTTTCATATTTTTAAGTCAATATATCTCTTTTACCTTGAAATTTATAATAACAAAAAGTATTTTTTTTATATTTTGGATAACATTAAAAACACAAGCAATAATTTACTAAAAAAATAAAGGGTATTATTATAAGTATAGTTCTTTATAAAAAAATTATTATAATAATAGACATATAAATAAATAAACATTTTAGTAATATATAACAATATCTAGTCAACACATTAAACTTTAAATTTTTTTATTTTATATTAAAATGATCTTAGTAAGAAAATTATTTAGAGGCTAGTTACCTTTTTGTTTACTATTGTCATGTTTTAAAAAGGTGAAGACTTTGACATCAATAAAGTGATTAAAAAAAAATCAAAGATCTGTTTGAAAATTGAAAATATCAACCTTATGTGAACGTCAAATCAAAAGTTCAAAACTAATAAATTAAAGTTAATAAAAGTAAGATAACTACTACTAATACAATTTGATCCCCTCTTAAATATGGAAAAAGTTTTTACTTATTATAAGAAAAAATATCTTTCATTGTTATAAAAATTATCATTAATGTTATAGTCATAACTATTCTCCGTAACCATCACCGTAACCATCATTAATATTAAAATCGTAATATTTATTTGTTAAATTATTTATATTTCAACTGCTTTAATTTATGAAATATATAAATTATTAAATATAAGTGAAATATTTATTAAATGTACACTTTTGCCGGTGAGTGAGCGTCGAAGACACTGGTTAATGGTTTCCTCGCAAATGTCGTCATATAATGTCTTCATGCACTGTCTGGCTGGCCGTAGAAACAATACAGATCTATCCCTTTTTTTTTCCTTTCATTTATAATTTAGTATCGGAACTAAGAAAGTATCCGAGGAAATTTCCACGTGGCCACCCTCAGCACATGCCACGTCGAACAATTTTCCAACTGCACCCACATGGGTTCCTTATGAAAATCCTTACTTTAATTTTATGAACCATACTCTTCCAATTAATTCATTAATTAATAAATACTTATCATTTATAAATAAAGTGTATTGTGATAGAGTTGGATGAAAAGATGATTTAAAATTATAAAAAGTGTTATGAAATTCAGTGGTTCGTTTGTTGTGTTATCCATGATGCCAAATCTAGAAAAGTGCAACTTTATTATAATTGAATGTTGAGTGTGCGTGTTAAGAGAAAATGAAGTCGTATAGAGAATATCACAATCTTTATGTGAAACGAAATAAAATGTATAATTCAAATATAATTATCAGGAACAGTGACGTAAATGTCACATTTTCTTAATTTTTTTCCCAAATATCACACCAATATTATTTTTTACCTAACTGCAACGCGATTAAATTCGTTATCAGTCATAACGAACTTGATTAAGGCATGTGACATGTTTTTATTACGTACCAAGTTCGTTAATGATGGTAACAAACTTAGTCGCTTATGATTCTGTGACATATGTACATTTTGTAAAAAAAAAAGTTGACTGGACCAAGTTCTCCGAATCATTGGTAGCGAACTTGGTACGCTAATGAGAACATGCTATGTGGCTTAATCAAGTTCACTATGACCGGTAGCGAACTTGGACACATGACAGTCTGGTAAAAAATACTATTCGCGTGATATTTTGACAAATTTTTTTAAAAAAGTGGCATTTAGGTAATTGTTCCTAACAATTTAGTACATTTACCAAAAAAATTGGTTTAAATGGTACATACTTGATTCTACTTAAGCAAGATCTTGAGTTCAAGTCCTTGAATACAAAAATTCTTTTTAGAAAAGTTAACTTTACTATAATGTAAATGTTTCCTGATTTGAATAGAATCTCACGTTCAAAAATATAATAAATGAAACTTTGTAAAAAAATAGGTCTCGTGTAGCGGAGCTCGTTATTGTTATCATGAAGAACTACAGGGATTCAGCTTTTCTTTATTATTAGATCGTATAGCTATTTTTTTATTCATATAGGAGTGATATTCTTTTCTAGTTAGATCTTGGTGGTGTTTAAACTATGTAAAAGTGGCTAACGGCTACTAATCCTAATTTCATTTTTTAAGAGCTGAATTTAATGAGAAAGTTAAATTAATATGTTTCATAGTCTAGATGCATGCAAAAGCATGGCCACCCAGAGAATAGACAAAGTATTTTTCATGAAATCAGAGAATCTAAGAGGTTGTACTTGGTGCACACTTACCTGTGGACCACTATCATCACGGTTCCTAAGTTTGTGTGGTAAGTTCTTTTTCAGTGTACCCTCTAGAGCGGTATGTACTTTTTTTTAACCCCTATAAATGCTAATTTAAAAGCCAAATGCGGATTTCTAGAAATTTTTAGGTGCAAATGCATATTTATTTTCATTCACAGCAAACGAATTCATAATGAAAATCATCTTTTTTCTAACAAAATGAAAACTTCTGTAATTTGATTATGGATCTGAAATTTTTCCTGTTGTTAAATAATAAGAGGTGATGTTGTTAAAGAAATAAAGGCATGAATAGTTTTGAATATAAAAAAAATGAAAAACTTTTCTGATTTGATTATCGATGTAAACTTTTACTGTTTTTAAATATCAAGAGATAGTAATAATTTATCATGGTAAGTTATTATTATTGTTTTTTTATTTCTCTCTAATATAATAATATTGTGTTAGAAAAGGATCTAAATCTTTTTATTATATTGACTTGTCATAATATCCTTTTTTAAAAAAATCATAATATCCTTTTTTTCCCTAAAGATATTGATATTGTTAGAATATTAGTAAGATCTCAAATATTATGTTTAATGGAGATGGTCATTTTACACCTATATAAAATGGTTTTTATATCTCGCCTGTCATTGTAAAAAAAAATTTCTGCAGCAGCACTAGGATACGATTTTCATATCCTAGCATGCCTTTTTTTTTAAAAAAAAAAAAAAAAAAAAACAAGTGAGACTCACTTGCTTGGGTATGTTACACCCAATAAAATTTTGCAGCAACAGTAGACATGCAAAGCCCATATAAAATTAGGGTTATGGTTTGATCATATCACAGTAAAGTGGAAGTAAATTCAAAGAAATGTGTGATTGTTTTGTTTTTTTATATAAAAAAATGGTGTGCCTCACTTTTAGTGTTTCTATGACATGATACAATCATTTTCCTGTAATATTATTCTTATAAATCCCATAAAATTAATAAGTTTTATATTACAAATAACACAAGAATTCCTGGGTTGGTCACACATGGTTGATCATGTCCAATTTCTGATCATTGGGCTTGTAACTTCAACGCTAGAGTGTCCTCCGTGCGGGATGCGACAAGTTGGGTCTTCAAGTTCTTCAAGAAACAGGTGCAGGTAGGAACTTGCAAGTCAATTTTTGAGCTAGTGAATTAGTATATAAATTGGATGATGAATACTTTAGTATTGAGCCTCTAGGATGGGGAGACTTATTATGGGCCTTGAGTGACCACCTTTGTAGGTGTTGGTGTTAGTTCCTCTGTGGCTATGACTGGTGATTGGCTGAATGTAAGATTCCTGCTATGTCAATATTTGATAGACACCACAAGTTTCTATAATTCTGTATATTAATTCACGGGAAAGAAAAACACAATCACCGAAAATAGTATCGGCGACAATTTGAGGATGCCACCAACTCCAGAAGTTTTAGAGAGAGAAAAGAAGTTTGTTATTACAAATTGAAGGCTGATCCTAAAGGCATCCTCAACCCCTTAATTACCGAATTAGAAATGCTAGAATCTAATAAATGGGCCACGTGCTGTATTGGGCACATCTCAGGTCCAAATGCCACATCTGTTCCTAGCCACATGTGGGTATCAGGTAATCTTTCAATTTGCTTGATTTTGACTTTATTTCCCCTTCTTGGTATTACATGTTGCATTTCCTCTCTTCCACATTCTTTCTTCTCTGCCTCACTATTCTCAACTTCAATAATTTGTCCTGGGTTCGTATCAATTTCCCCTTCCCTTAAAATACTGATCTTGCCCTTAAGATCAAAGTCAGGGAATGATTACAAGAATTACAGGAATCCCAAGTAGGAAATCCATGACGCATCCTCCAAAGGAAACCCACTCCATTGAACCAAGATCTGCCCGTTAGAATCCTTTCCCATAGCCACGGTTCGAGATATGAGTACAACCACCAGAGTAACAACTGTGTGATTCTCCCAATCTGTCAGAGGTAAAGGGCATGGATGAAAAACTGAATTTTTATGAAATAGTTTCAGTAGAGAGACGTGAAACACCAGGTGAATGCGAGAATGAGCCGATAACTCCAACCGATAAGCCACCGTGTCGATGCGCTCACGAATTGGAAAATGGCCATAGTATCTCCGTCGCAACTTGGAAAAACTTTGGTTGTGCAGCGACTGTTGACAATAAGGTTGCAATTTCTCCAGCATTTCCTCTCCAACCTTAAATTGAACATCCCTCCTATGTTTATTCGCCTGATGTTTCATGTGTTGCTTTGTGCAGTGCAGTGTTTCACGAAGATGTCATAATATGTGATCTCGCTGGGTCAACAAAGCAACCACAGCTGCAATCGGTGAAGATTCCCCATTATAAGGTTGCAGAGACGGTGGAAGACGCCCATACAAAACTTGAAAAGGGGACGACCCAATTGCCGAATGAAAAGAAGAATTATATGAAAATT